TCCCCCTCCGCACGGGGGGCTTCCGGAAAGTACGCGGGAAGACCGCGGCTCGGGCCCCCTCCCCCATCACCACACCCAGCCCCCAAACCCTCCGGCTTGGGGTTCCAGCCGCGAGGGAACCGACCAGAGAAAGGCAAGCCGCCGGCAAATTGTTCCAGGCAACTCCTGCCTTCTCCGCCGGGCACCCCTCCCCGCCCTGCGCGCCATCAGGCTCCGCACGTCTACACTCCACAGCTGCGTTATGATGGGGGGCGGGGGGGGGAGGCACAAAAAGGATCTTGTTTTCAAAAGTCTCACTCAGGTTTGGGGGAGGAACTAGAGCAAAGAGGAAGCGAGGCCTGTCTTCGCCGGGGATTCGGGGTTTAATCAGCTGGAGGGGCGACAGGTCAGCACACAGTGCTCCGCCAACTCGGGAACCCTGGCCACCGCGGCTGGAGCGCCGGCCCTGCGCCCGCGCTCTCCTGGTCCCCAAAGGCCACTAGAAGGAGTCAGCCAGCGTCTCTGTCTCAGCCCCGGGTTCTCTAACGCGGAGCCGCCAACTCGCATAAAACAGCTCTTGAAAGCGAGAGGGAGCCAGGAAAAGAAAACAAAAACAAAAAACGAGCTTTCGCGTAACCCACCCTGGCCTCCCACTTCCTCAGCGGCGAGCTCTCGCCGAGGCTCCCAGTTCCCTGCCGTGTAAGTTTCCTCCGGCCCTGCTCCCGCCGCTACCCAATCAATAACGGCGACGGGAAGGCAAACTCCCATCCCGGAGCTGCGTGTTCGCGGTGCCCGCATCAATCTGGACCCAGCCAATGCCCACCACGGGCACCAGCTCCGGGCAGCCCGAGTCCTGACAAAGTTTCCCATGCCCATTTACTAGCCGGGCACCGAATGGCTGCCGAGGAGCCCCCTCTGGAGAAAGACCGGCCCGGGGTCGCCAGGGTTCGAGGCTGGCGTCCGGAGGGAGCGGGGTCGAGGGGGGACCGGGACGTAGCCTTGGGGTAACTTGCAATAGCGATCGCTCGGGGTGGGGAGGCGCGGGGATTATCTGTGCCTTTGCACGTTCGGAAATCCCTCCCCCTCTTCTTCCCATTTATCCTCCGCTCCGAAGGAAAGAAATATCAGCATCTGGCCCGAAGGTGGGGTGGAAAGAGTGAGGGAGAAAGAGGAGAAGAGGAAGAGGCAGAGAAAGGGAGGGAGGGAGAGAAAGGGCGCGTTCACGAACACTACAAAGTTACAAATATGGCTCCCCCGTCTCTCGCCTCATCACTGCAAAGAAATGAAGACGCACTTTAAACTCGAGCCATTCCCAACTCCACCGCAGCCCCCTCCCCACGCGCTCTCCCCGGGGGCCCCGGTCCACATTTATCAGAAACTAAACCGGACTCGCGAAGCCCAAAACTTATTGTGTGTGCGCGAGCGAGAGTGAAAGGGAGGGGTGAGGTGCGGGAGGGGGTGGTGGACGGGAGGGGGGGTTCATTTATAAAATATAAACCCCCTTTTTGTTGTTAAATCCAGGAGGCAGCCCCTCTCCTCCTCCTCCCTCGTTAATCTTTTTCCCCAGACGGAGTCATGGGAGCAACGAGCTAGAGGGTCATTTTGCCTCATTCTCTCCGACCCAAACGCGTGCGCCCGCTGGCCCCCGATGGGTGCACACTCGCACGCACACTCTCGCACCCACACTCGCACACGCGGGAGCACACGCACAGGTAGTCACACACCAAGGGCAGCGGCGGCGGCGGCAGCCGGAACATGCTCTGATGGTATTGCAACCCCCCAACCTTGCAATTCATTTGCAGTCCGACCCCCAAACCCACACCTCCCGGGCTCCCCCCCTCAATAAAAGTGCCTCACCCCCCCGCCCCCAACGCACACACACATACACAAAGTAGGAGAATGGACCGACAGAGATATTTTTGGCAAATGCTCACATCAGAGGGCGTCCTGTTCCGCAGCTCTAAATGAATCCGTTTGTCCATCTCCATCTCTCGCGCTCTCTCTCTGCAGAGGCTCCCGCGCCGGCGGAATTCAATCAATAAACCCCGAACCCACGGCCGCGCGTTTTAGGACTTTGAAGGCTCAACCAGCTCCGCTCGGTTCTCGAGCCCCCAGCACCCGCGGCGCACACAAACCTGATCGCTGTGGAGGCGGGATCTGCGATCGCGCGAATGAGCGGCAGGAGCTGCAGCCAATCGCCGCCAAGGATCTCTGGGCAACAGCCAGTGGCGGCAGCAGCGGCGGGGGAAGGGACCAATGGGCGGGCTGCGCAGCCGGCCAGGGAGGCTCAGCCATTTGGTTGTGGTGCCGGAGACGGACCCCTTTAGATTTCTGGGCGGCTGAGGAGCGCGGCCGCTGCTCCGTGGCTGAACTAGGGGGGTGGGAGGAATGGCGGGGATAGGGAAGGTGACTACCTCGAGA